TTACTGTGTGTGTGTTTTTGGTTTATCTTTTATGATGTACAATCTGCACTGCAGCAAACCTCAGTGAGAACAACTGCAGGATTCCCAGCAGGTCCAGTTGGTGTTAAGCCTGAGGTTAGCCTCATCCTTCTGGGAAGGAGAGTCAGGGAAGAGCTTCACACGGACACAATGACCAACAGGTGCTCTCTAGACCATAGGGTAATGTCAGGGTTATCTGTCACAGAGCTGGACACCCCCAGTTGGAGTCTGTTTGGCATCCAGCCTGACCAGTCCTGAGCACATCCCTCTGCCCTGTGAGGGGACATGTTATATAAATGGAAAAAATATGGAACAGTTATTTTAAAGGAGAATACAAATTTTACACATGAAGGATGCTACTAAAGGATCATGGAAATGTAGAACCAGCACTGTTGGAGGATGACCCATACTAGAGATTTTGTGAAATAAGAACATTTCTCTCTGATGAGTTCCCCATATGGAAGTGTAGTACCAACTTACTGGAATACTGCTTTGCTATTTATATTTTATTGTGATTATAATTCCATGAGGATGGGATGAATATTTAATGATGCAAATGGTTAAAAAAAATAATGTAAACAAGCATATAGAAGGTGAGGGGTATTTCATGATTGAATGAAAATCATAAGAATATACAGCAAAGATAAAACAAAAAATATAAATGTTATGGAATCTGTTGTAGATGTGATACATTCAAAGACAAAACATTTTTTACAAACAACATTTATGATAAAATGTAAATAAATATGCATGTAAATATAAGGCAATTAGCCCAATTTAAATACAGCTTGTGTGTACATGTGAATAAACATTCGGATTCATGATCAAGAGTATTTTTGTTCTGAAGAAATTTTTTTAGAAACAAAATTTGTAGTTGGTATTTTAGGGCATGCCTTTAATATGAATACAATCAAAGATTATTTAAGGTCAAGCATTGCTATTGGTTTACAGTACTGCTGCTCCGACCAATAAAAGACGCGTATAACTGTACCCGGATGTTAATAGGTTGTTTTTTCCAATACTTTATTGAGGCATATGACAGTAGTTATACATAAGTAAATAGATAGTAAGTAAAGTAGGAAACAAGAGGACTATAACATAAAATAAAGAACATAAAAACAAGAACAACGTCGAAGCAGACAATGTGAACATGAAACTTTTAGGCCAGGGGTGACTTAATGGGTTAAGTTAAGTAAAAACATTCAGGGAAGTACATATATTACAAATTTTGATAGCTTTTTTATTTTCGCTCATCAGGATGGAAGAGAAATAACTTTTTATTTCGCATAACAGGGCAGGGAAGAAGGGTTTAGATTTAGAGAATTTGCATTTGTGAATATAAAATTTTGCCATGAGTAGAATAAAGTTAATTAAATGTAGTTTGTCACTTTCCTTTCTATTATTGTTATACAGACCAAATAAAACATGTTCCCATTTCACAGCAAGGGGATAATGAATTTTGGAGGTGATGAATACAGAGACATTCTGCCATAAATCATAACAAAATGGACAATCCCAAAATAAATGAACAGTAGTTTCTTCTGAGGCATTACAGAAAACACACGATGTATTAATAGACCTATTAAATCTTGTAAGATAATGAGCAGATGGGTAAAATCTGTGAATTAACTTAAAGGAGACCTCTCTTATTTTATTACTGATCATATATTTAAAAGGCAATAACCATACTTTATCCCAGCAAATGTCCGGAACCAAAGTATTCCAGTATGATATAATATATGGCATAGACACTACATCCTGTTGAAAAATAGCCCGAATAGCTCGATTGTTCTTCTTTCTTATAGTGGTGAA